TCAAACTTAAGGGGAAATTCTATAAGATGATGGTGAGACCTACAATGCTTTATGGTGCTGAATGTTGGCCATTAAAAGATAAGCATAATATTAAGTTAAGTGTTGCAGAGATGAGGATGCTCATGTGGATGAATGGCTTTACTCTTAGAGACATGTTATGAAACGAGACTAGCATATACATGAAAAGTTGGAGTATCTCCAATGGAAGGTAAGATTATAAAGAGTCACCTTAGATTAGAGAGAGACACCTTAGAGAAACAACTAGTGCTTCTATAAATTTACATAATAAAACAGTATAATTGTAGTCAATTTCATCAAAATCTATACATATATACCAAATATAGTACAAAAAATTCTATACATCAAAACAATTAAATATTTGATTATAAAAGTGGTGCCTTGCTACTCATAACTCAATGAACATGCCACTACACTTGATCTACTTATATATGCTTTTACCTTTTTTTTTTTTTTTTAAATATTAGAAAGAATATAATGAGCATGACTAGCCCTGTAGAATCCTTACCCTAGTATGTCATAGATATTAATTTAAATTTCAATGAAATTAAAATACACTAAAAAGTAAATAATGCATTAGTAAAAGAAGTTTCTTTAAGATTTTAAAGACATTTTCAAGGAGTTTTCAAAATACCTCACATAACACTTGTTATCAGAAGTTAACTTGTACTTAACTTTTATATTTAATCATAGTTTATTAAAAAATTCAGAAATTATTAACATTCAATTTAGAATATCACTTATATTATATTTAATTATATATATGCAATGCGATGATTAGAATGTAATTGTTTTTATGCATGTTTATAACTTCACTTCCACTTATGCCTCCCTTGATCCTCCCACACTTGCCTATAACAAGGGAGGACAAAATCAAAATATAATAGTCCCACATAACCTCTCACATATGCTTTCATCAATTGAGGCCAGAATCTCTCCTAGATCTGCACTAGATAGATAAGGCCAAAGCAGAACATATATGATACTTATAAAAATCTGAGAGTGCAATTTTCACATATCAAAACATCTCCCATATTATGCCATACAATCATAGATGTAATAGTAGCTAATTTGTGATTTCCATGTAGTTATTAAATAATTTATGAATTACCATAATCACTAATAAAAACCATATTACTGGTATAACATAATACTCAGTTATTCACTGAATATTTGTAACAACATAAACTCTTAACTATTGAGATATTATCTACATTGGCCTAAGGGCCTCATGATTTATCATATTAGTATAACTTTCCAGGAGGTCACCCATCTCAGAATTTATCCGGAATGAGCACACTTAATTGTAGAGTTTTTTTAATAAAATTTCAATAATTACATCAAAAGACGTCTCGATGTTTAAGAGTTTTGTTTATTTTACTTATGAGATTTCATAATTTCCTCCATTTATATAACTAATGTTCTCATCAGTATCTTTATCCCATAATCATTCACCTGGTATATATGATTCTAGAGATGTCCCCTACAAGTTCAAGTGGCGACTCCTGTCACATAGCATTTTATCCCGTACAGGGTTCAAGAGGTGGCTCACATAGCGTACCACTTTGTCATGCATGACACTTAGTTTCCATCTTCCGATTGGTGTATTGTTCTGATATATTTGTAATAGCACAAACTCTTAACTATTGAAATATTATCCGATTGGGCTTAATAGCCTCACGATTTTGTCCTATTGGTATAAATTCCAAGGAGGCAACCCATATTAGGATTTCTCTGGGATGAGCATGTTTAACTGTGCATTTTCTTAATAAAATTCTAACAATTACACCAAAAGGCACTTCGATGTTTAAAATTTTAGCTTCTTTTACTTAAAGGGTTTCATAATATTTCCCTTTTAATTCATAATTTCAGAGGAATATTTATAGGAACATTTTAAAACTTTTACATAGCAATCACAATTGCCAGAAAAGCCCCACTTCATTTATATACTCAGAAATTCGCATAAGAAAAACCAACCGGTAAAAAAAATGATTTCATATAGTTAAAATGTTCAAAATAAAGCGTAAGACAATATATTGAAAGTTATACAATGAAAATATCGTAAAACCCAAGAAAAATATATCAGAGATAAGGATTTGAAAGTCTACCTAGTACTCTATAAAATTCCTAACTAACTTGATGGACGAAACCCAAACCTTGGCCGCTAAAACCTCTCCCTTACTTTCTCTCTCCTCCTATGCTCCTCTCTTCTCCTCTCCGACAATATATGGGGGTGATGGATTTTTGAAATGGATTTAGATATTTTCTTCATATAAAAATCTCTAATTTTATTCAGTACCACGGTACTAGACCCTCAACAACACAACACTGATCCAAATCTTCTAGATTCCCCCAACATCTTTCCAAACAGAGGGCAAGGTGTTGTGGAGACGCCACCCTACACCACAATGCAAGTTCAAATTCAATTCCATCATATGAGAGCTCAACACTACGGTGCTGCCCACCACCCGACACCACAATGTTCCTAAAGAAAACTCCTAAATAAAAATTCGCTTATCCATTTCACTTCCTCACTTGCACAAGGGCTCATTAAACACTTTAGGACTTATAGTTATCATTAAATAAAAACTAAACAAATATCGATGGTAATTACTTGGGTTTCTAGACATTGGACATTTCAATATTAAGCTTAATATGACACTTTTCAATGAGGCTTGCCTCGATTTATTCCCTCCTTCTCACTACATAATAGATAACCCAAGGTGTTGCGACCATCTCCTTTAATTGTTAACCTCCTTGACCTAATAATCCCATATTCTCTTAAAAAACATCCAGACAAAGTATAACCAATTTTACAAAGCACTTCATTCTTCTTTTACTGGTTATGTGTTGGAGATTCAATTTTCTCTTTTTACACCAAGTTGAGGAAGCTTAAGTCTATAAGTAATTTGAAATACTTAGGTTACTTCTAATTATATCACTTCATCAAGAATTTGGAAACTTTTAAAATGCTTGCTATTTTTTTCTTGATAAAGATTCTGTTAACCCGTCTTTTAATGTCAAAGTCGAGGAGCTTAATGAAACACTTGCAAATGAATACCCCTCCTGGCCCTCTTGGACTATACAAAGATCAATAACTAAATGGCTTACCAATGATGAAGAGGACATTAAGTTTCTCTATGAAAAAAACCATAGGGAGAAGAAATCATAATCGCATCAAATAAATTACCACATAGCTTGGGACTTTTGTCCACCATAGAAATTTTTATGGCTGCCTCTAAAGTATTCGAATCTCAGTTGGTTAGTTTTTATGAATGGATAAAAAAATATAAATTCTCCTCCCTAAAGGAATACTTGTGGAATCAAAATATTATTTTTGTTGGGTTTCGGCTAGATCTGTTAACCATCTTTTCATTAATTATTTATCTGCTTCCACCTTCCTACTAAGGCCAACTATCCCACAACTGTTTGGGTTCATTGAGGATTTGGAACCTGTCAGGCTTGTTGTTAAAAGGCTCTTATACCTTTCTTTTTTGCTATTGTGCTTTCTATCTTTGGCTTGAAAGAAATAATATAAGATTTGAGCACTATAGGTTGCCTCGCAGATCATTCTGAACATATTAAGTTGGTTATCAATCTTAAAATTCACAAATGGAGCAAACATCATGAGAACTGGAGGGATTATTTAATGAAATGACTGCTTTTTGGTGTATTTATAGATGATGATGAATCTCATATTCACCATGTATGTTGGGAATTCATTACTGCACCCGCTTGAAAGAGAAACTATTATGTGCGGAGACCGGACGTAGAACGCTGTCTAGAGACCAACTAAAATGCGCCACGTAAGCGGTATCGAGCGAGGGATGACGTGATGCATTCTAGTCTCCAGACGAAGTGCAGCGTCCTGACAGAATAATTTTTCCCGTTGAAAGATATTTTTAGCAAATGGCAGTGCACATCTTTCTTGTGCCCCATATTATATATCTATGGGTGAAATGTTGGGCATTCGGAGTTAAGTTATTGTACATGTATTTGGAAATTTGCTTAGTCTTTTGTTTGTATGTTGTTTCTTTTTCTATGTTTTGAACATTGCAAGTTTTTGATGCAGCTCTTGTTTTACCATTAAAATTCTCTTGAGATGTATGCATGTTTGCATGTTTACGCTTTGTAACTATCCTTTTTTTGCAATGGGAATTGGATAATACCTAATTTTATCAAGAAAAAAATAATGGATCTTAAATATCATTTCTTTTTTGTTTAGCCGGATTTACTAAATCAGAAAATAGGTAAATTTATCGAGACTTATTTTTTTGTTAGGACATTTAGACAAATTCATGCATAAGCTTCGAACTCAAGACCTCTTGATTGATAGCCAAATCTCCCAACTAGCAGATCAAAATAAGCTGGGTCATATACAAAGACGAAAAGACGAAAAGAAGAATGCCTCCTACTCTCTCCCAACTCATTTTTCCTGCAATTATTCTTATTCTTTTTTTTTTTTTAAACTTTAGAAACAAAGCAATAGTAAATTAGAGAACCTTCTAATTAGATAATAAAGAAATTAAAATGAATTAATTATAAATAAGAATTTTTAATAGTCGATGATTCATATTTAGATCTTCATTTAGAGTTTAAAGGATAAATAGGAATTTTTTACGTTTCATTAATTTGGAATTTTATTGATTAATAATTAATTAGAAATTTAATATATAATAAAAATATTCAATTAATCTAATTAGGATTGATAAAAATTTTTAAATAAAAATTAATAATATTCAATCATATAAATTAGTTACAAGTAAAATAATCTTATAATTAATATTTGTTAATTATACAATTGATATGATTAACATTTTGTTTGAGTTAGAAGATTTAAATTCTAAAATAAACAGTTAATTAGTGCATCAAAATATAATCAAATTTACTTTATATTATATTCAATAATATTTAGAATTTAACTATCTCAAAACATATTAAATATAAATTTACAGAATTAGTAAATCCTAATGCTTGTGGCCAAATAGCCCCATAGTCCCGCCGTTTTTCAGTAAAGTACATATCGTCGCATTTCACGCGTATCTGCATCGCTTCGCTCATCTGACTGTTTTCTCCTCCAGCCAACGAAACCCTACTTAGATCGAGCAAGGCCATGGAGCTTAAGCCCGGCATGTCCGCTCTAGTCACCGGTGGTGCCTCCGGAATTGGTAACTAAATCTTTCTCACTCCATGCCTCGCCCCCAGCCCCCGCATTATATTTTATTATTAAGGTCAAAGAAGCGGAGTTCCAATGTTCTAAATGAATCGTTTGTCTGCTCAAAAACAAATAATCCAATATATTTGACTAATATAATCAGAGGAAATTTCCTTCAACTCTCGTTAGAAATACCTTTTAAGTTATTATCGTGGTTGAATTTAGTGAATAAATAAGTTACATGCAATAAAAAAATTGGTGTTGTTGGAGTTGATTTATGTATGATCTATTGTCCTGGGTCATGAGCATATCTTGTTAGAAAGGGGAATTCGATGGCGTAAGGGTGCTAGTGTATTTCGTTTTGCAGTTTTTGTAGAACTTTACTGATGAAATCATGAAATAAACCAAAGAAAACTTCAGGAAAAAAGATTTTTTTGGCTGAAATCAGTTGATTTATTGGTTGCAGTTCGTATTTGCTTCAGGTCATCCGGTGATTTTCTTTTTTCGGTTTTCGATAGATATATTAGCTTGTTATATGTATGAAGACGTTCCTGCATGTGTGATTTGATCTCATCCGCTGGTTGTGTCAATTGAATTATTTTTTATACTCTGTTATGGTGGAGAGAAGTAAATGACATGGCAGATGTGGTAAGTCACCTGGGATTGGTATCTCTGGATTTTTTTTCTTCTTCTTAAGCTCAAAGACTGCTATTGATAAGATCAGGTCTGAAATTTTGATTTAATTTTGGCCTTCGGAGATGGTCTGATTTGCTTCCATGGCAACAAAAGTGTCTAATGTTGATAATTTAGGGTCTGGGATTTCTCATGCATATCCATTATGAGATGAGAAAAATCATGCGAGCATCACAAAAAAAACTGAAGTTATTAATTCTTAATCTCTAAAAACAAGTCATATTTTTTTCTATGAAAAACTCAAAATACAAAGAAATCAATTCATATATTAATTCAATAACCAAATTACCAGGAAAAACACAAGACCATGAAATTCACATAATTATTTCAAATCCACACGCTTGTTGAAACTCAACTTGTATTGGATTTATATAACATCAGTCACACAATTGTTTCTTGAGGAAGGCAGGGAGGGAGTATTATGGATGTATTATGCTAGTTTTGTAATATAGTTGACGATCTCCAGTTCTTATAACAGCATTTCAACTTTTTGGAATAGAGTTCTCTGTACTCCAATGAAAATGATGCGGAGTAAGATGTTTTCTTCTAGTTATCAATATTGGTTCTTATTTGTGTCAAAATAATTATATTTATTCAGCTATTTTATGGAGTTTCTAATTATTTGTCATAATTTCAATAATAAACGGTAAAATTGTCATTATCATTTTTGATATGCTTTCCATTATTCTAATTTTAATAGGTTTAGAAAATTCATGAATATATAGTTTCTATTATAAATTGTAGGTTTAGATTAAATTTTTTTATGGTTGATGATGGGATATAGAAATGATTTTTTTTTAGTGTCCATATGGGATTAATTCCTTTCTTCTCCTATGGTTTCTTAGTGACTAGGTAGACTGATTACTAGGGCGCGGAAATTTTCTTTATTTGACTATCGCCTAAAGTACTGAACTGTACTTCATTTTGCTCATAGTGGAAGAAGTCTAGACCACATAAAGGGACAGTCTTCCACTGCTTTAGTTTATCCAAATCATAGGTAAATTTTATGTATGGTTGGGATTCATGGAGTTATAACTTATAAGAAGTAGGTAAGGTGTAAATCTCCAATTGCATGTTGTGGACGAGCAAGATATTGATAATTTCCCACTTGATCAATATGATTCATGATCTAATTAGATAGGGACAGCTATAGGCTTCATTGATTAATTAATTGAATGCATTGATTGGATAGCACGTGAAGCATAAAGGTTTTCCCCAAGGCTGCAACTGTCAAAGTATTTTGTATGCAGAAAAGATATATAACCATGCAAATATAAATTTCTAGGGGTGCAAAAGTATGATTAGTTAGCGCAAGACCTTCTCTTGATTAAAAGGAACACTTGGCATCCGTGGATGCCCTTGCTTTGTCTCATATATTAATAGTAAGAAAGGATAATTATGAAACTAGTAAGCTACAAATGCGTGCACAATTAAATTCCCTAGATGATAAAATTAGGTTTTGCTGGCTGAGAAATAATTGAAAATTAAGAGAGATGATTGAGCAGCAATCAACAATTTATATACTTCATCAAAATAACCTTTTAAAACCACATATATCTTTATAATAAGCTAAAAGGCACTGCACTGAACTTTAATCATTCTTCTTTTTTTCCTTCAGCCTTTTTTTTTTTGCTTTCATCTCATCCTTTCTTTCTTCTTCCATTCTTCACTCTTGCCTTCTTCTCCTAACTCATACTACATCAATGAGCAATTTCCATTTCTTTCGGCATTCCTTATGTTGGACTTATTCTACAGTTGTGTCTGTATGGGCCTTAATTGAGGCACTTGTGCGCCATGACTAGGCGATTCTTATTTTTGGAATATATCTTAAAGACATCATCATTTGATTGAGTTGCAGGAAGGTGGTTTCTGTTTTTCTCATCTTAGCTGTATATTTAGATCTCATTTGGATCCAAGAAAAATTAATGTATTTTCAGTTGATTTTTAATACAATTTTATCCTTATAGATTTTATTGGTTTAAACAACATTTATAGGTAGGGCAATCAGCTTGGCCCTTGCTCAGAAAGGCCTATTCGTGACAGTTCTTGACTTTTCTGAAGAGAACGGTAAGGATGCTGTTTTTTTAATCGAGAAGGAGAATGCCAGATTCCATCAGAACTTGAGGATCCCTTCGTCTATGTATATTAAGTGTGATGTTACCAACTCGAGTAAGTATTATGGCGTGGCTGCGGCTTTATCTTTTTATGTATTTTTTTTCTGAATCTAAAGGGTATTCCTTGAACTTATTATATTAGAAGCTCATTATTAGAAGCTCATCTTATATCAAAACTGTTGAAAATCCATAATTCTGGCATAAAGCTAATCTATATTGTATTGTTTCCCTTTTCTTTTTCTCTCTCCGTGCTGCTTCATGCTTTTTTTTTTCTCTGGTTTATTATTTATTTACTTTTGAACTTTTCCTGTCTATATCTTTTTTTTTTCTAGTTAATTACTGCTGTACTTTTGAACTTATGTTTCATATCTGGAATGGATCAACTGAACTAAAATGATAACTGAAAGTGCAGTTGAATATGATTTCTGTAGAATTGGACATAGTTCTATTATGACAAAGTTTTAACCTCCGAACATGCCTTTTTATTAGCCAGAGCTTGTCAGTTGACAAATCTTTAGCAGGGTGTATGATTACTTTCTTTCATGTATCTTTATCTTAAGGTACACATCCATGTACGCATAACAAATTGGTTAGTTTATAATCCTATGTGGCCATCCTCTGTGAATTACTCTTCCATAACTATCGAACATTCTCATTCTTTCAATCTGCATATCAGTTTGATACTTTGATCTTGATGAGGACATCGAAGATCAACGGCTACGATCGTGTCTATTTATTTTCATGTATTTTATTTGTTATTTGCACTTTTCCATTTCTACCCTCACTTGAGGGCTTTGTTTTATGTTTGCCCTAGGGGCAATTGTGTCTTTTATTTTCTTCTTCATGTAATTGGCTATTTAAGCCTTCCCCTTCCTCTTGGAAAGGATGATGAATATTGATATGAAAAAAAGCCCAAGGTGAGGGCAAAAGCAATCCCCGCCAGTCGTTGGAAGCGTCCTCGACTCGTGGTTTATTTTATCTTATTATTTTCTTCTCCAACTCTCGTTTTCCTCCTCCCCATGCCAAGCCCTACCCGAGATCCCATCATCCACCACTTTACCCACTAGCTTCCTCCACTACAACCCAAGCTTCATCAAGAAATCCCCAAACCCGACGGCAAGCCCCTCTTCCTCCTTTGGCCGCCGGCCACCCCGTTGCTCCAAGCCATGATGAAGATGTCAATCATTATAATGACTCCTTGATTGTGGCCTAGCAATAAATAAAGGAGTTACCGATTTTGAATTTCAAATTTGAAATTCAAAACTTTCCATATTTGCAAAATTCCTAAAAAGGAAAGTTTTTGAATTGATCCAAGCCAAATTTCATGACATGTGGAATTATTAGTTTATCCTATGTGGCATCAACATGATGGGAAGGTAAATGACCAAGCCCTCCTCCCCCTCCTCCCCTCTCTCCATGCCGCCGGCCTCACCTTGAATGGAGCCCCATTCAAGCCACCAATTAATGCATTGATTACAATTTAATTTGAAATCAAATTTCGAATTGATTTCTCCCCAAAACCTCTCAAATTTTGAATTTAATTTCAGGATTAGCATTTATTTCCCCTCCTCTCTTGAAACCGCCGGCCACACCTTAATGGGCTTCAATTGATGGGCCATGACTTCTCTAGGAAAGAGTTTAACTCATTCCCTGCTGCTGGCCGAAATTTTCCAAGCCCCTTTCCCTAATTTTCTTCCACTAACTCTTCTCCAAACTCAATCCAACGTGGAGCTCTCTTCTTCCTAAGACTGCAGCCTGAAATTCAGCCGATTGCCTTGCTCCCTCAGCCCGTGGAAGACCCATAATTGCTGTTTTGGAAAGACGAAATTGCTGCCCACAAATCCTGGTTTCTTCCCAACGGTATCCGGAGGAATTCCAGCGAGGGAAACTTAAATTCCCACCTCCTGAAACCTTCCAACTGCTGGACGCTCTTCTACAACTTGCTGTCCACTGATTCTACAAATCTCCTAGCACCATAGCTTCATCCGGAAGGTTTCAAATGATGTCCAGAATCTGTCCAAAACAGAAACTGCTGCTGTGTTGAAGATACACACCTTTTCGTGGCTAATTGGTGGTGCGAAGAAGCTCATGGTGGCTGTCCTAGTCGTCCCCAACACTCAAATCATACTGCAGGAGTGCGTATCTCTCTTATCTTTGGGTAAACTCAACATCCGATTCGCTATCTTCATAGTTACATCCTTGAACGTGAATTTATTATCTTCATGAAGATCATATTTATGCGTCTCCGCTAAAGCCTAGTAATTAGAAGAGTTGTATGAGGGATCTTTCATAGCCTAATCTTATTGTTAGTATTGAAATTTATTGTTGGAACAATCTACGTATGCAACGTTGGATTAAGATGGCTATCTTTTGAACTTAACTTCTATGCATGAGAATTAACCTAAGCTAAGTACCACTTCATATTTATCTTATCGTTTAATTCCGCATAAGATCTTGTTTATTATTGCCTCTAAATCTAAGCGTGCAAACTTCTTTAAGCAAATCACTTTCGCATGGATTTTGTTTCACATCAGATCTGTTTTAATATACTAGCTTTTCTGTTTCATCTTGTATTCGGAGAATCTTCATCTACCCTTTCTCTATTGCTAGCATGATTGATCCTTTTTTGAACCCTATCGCTACAAAGCTTAGTGTCACTTATAATCATGAAAGAGTCCTTAAAAATAGGGAAATATTATTTTTTCATTTGTCCTTTTGTGACTTTCTTGTTGTTTGTTTTAATGAGTTGTTAGGTTCATGGATCTAAAGTCACGAAGAATGATGGTTCCTTCTTAAATAAATTCTCTACTTTTTATTTTTGTACTAAGCTGGTCTGGAAGACCCGAGATAAGCAAAAAAATTGTAGTTGACATATTCTTTCATCATTTTTTTTTGATGTGCAGGAGATGTAGCTGCTGCTTTTGAAAAGCATATGATGACATACGGAAGTTTGGATATATGTGTGAATAATGCTGGAATTGCTAGTCGGGTTATATTTCATCGGGACGAAACTGATGGCAGCAGTACCTGGAGGCGTACTATTAATGTGAACTTGGTTGCAGTTATTGAATGTACTCGTCTTGCGGTATAGATAATGCTTGAATTAGTTTTTTTTAGTTGGTTATACAATTGAAATTTCAGTACGTCCTTGGATTGATGCTCACCATGCAAACGCTTTTCCTACCTTTGCTAAATTCGAGAATTATCATCCATAAGTTGTACCATTTCTTGATCATAATAATTTATTGTGTTGTGTTAACTTAGGCTTCTTCGTTTCGGGCGGCTTTTTTATCGCTTCTTGAAACAGCTTTTTAGTACAAAATTAAAAATTTTGTACTAAAATGTTACTTCAAGTGGCAATAAAAAAGCCATTTCAAACGAAGCCTTAGCCTTCTGACTACCTATCAAAATAATATCAGATGGTATCCACCTGCATGATGATTTTGTTCTATGTTGGGAATGGGTGGAACTATTCACTGAAAATATGGAATTGGTATCTGAAATGAATTTTGTTTGTGCCTCGAAGGCTTACAATAAGTCTGTTCTGGTTACAATATTCATTGGAGCTTTGAAAACACTAATGTGGAATTTTAAGTATTTGTATAATGCATATGGCGGTGCCCCAAAGTAATTGCCACCATGATTTAATAAATTTTAGGATGACAGCCGCTTAGAAAGCTTATGCTGATGTTCATCACAATTTCAGCGTAAACTTTGTAAGGTTTTGTGCATTCACAATCTCAGCATAAACATTGTAGGCGTGCCTAAATAGCAATTTTAGCATAAAATGTTGAAGAGTCTGTCCTATATCCTGCACTCTAATTCTAAAGTCATAGCAAAATAAAAATCAGAAATAGTTGATCTTATTCAAGGTATTTTGGTCCTGACTGCATCCTAGCAGTTTCGCATGATTTACTAGCATATTTGAAGCATGATGTCTATGTTTGACAAGCTCATTTTGTATATCCTTCAAAATTGGGCCATTTAATAATTAAGTTGCAACTTGCACTTATCTCTTTACTTATTGTTCTTTCCCTTCTTTTCCCTTATGGGAGGAAGCTTCTTACCTTAAACTGTATTGCTTTGTTGGTTGCGGTGAGGATTAGATACTCCCTGTCCATACTCTTTTCATAGAGATGTTGTGTCGTAAGGGATTTTGTAGGCATTAAGACAAAAACTCTACCCATTCCTGGATGGTTTCCTTCACAAGGGGAGCTTGGGAGATATCAAATTCTGAAGGGCTTCATTCTAGAAGTTGAATATGACCAAATTGGATTTAGTAAAGAGAGAGAAATTGAGTTGGGTTACCTAATTAAACTATATATTACATTTCACTAAATCAAATAAAATGTTACAATCTAAATAGGAACATTTACGTACATGACAAAAGTGAAGGGGAAGCAAGAATTAGAAGAAAGAAAAAATATAGAAATAGTTACATTCACTTATACAAAGTGATACCTCAAGTGACGGCCTACTCAAGCATGTCGACGTTCAAGGGCATGAAGGCTGAGGGACAAGGTGAACAATAAGATACTTCTCCATGTAAAAGGAACACATTTAGCTTACATAACTGCCTTCTACCTCATGCTAATTGATGTTCTAACAATTTATTCTTAACTCAACATGCAACTATCTAAAGAATGAATGGAGGATAATGACTCACATTGTTGACCCCAAATAATTAATTAGTTAATGATAATAATGATTATGACAATGAGAGAATTTTTTATAAGGCTTTAAATTAATGATGTAAATACTGCCGTTGCCAGGTCCCAAGTTCTGGATGAGAAAAGTGGAGGGTTGCTTTAGGTAGTTGACAACTAACGTAAAACTTGTCAAATAATCATGACATGAATCCTTTAATACATTGTGTTAATATTAGACGACGCACTTTATGACCTGAATACAGTGACAAGTGTGCAAGTGATGCTGCACCGGCGCCCAGGTGTAGTGTTAAATAGACAAGTGTTCCCACATTATGGATGTATGTGGGAAAAGAAGTTACTCCATGAAACTAATATTAGGATATGAACTTGGAATATATGTTTCATTACAGGTAAATTAATTGAATTAATATACGCCATGATTCATAGGAAGATAAATATTCTATGCATTCAAGAAACTAAATGGGTTGGAGATAAGACTAAGGAGATTAATTTATGATTTAAACTATGATATTCTTGTAAGAATCGTACTAGAAATGGTGTATGTGTGATTATATATAATAGTTTGAAGGACAATGTTGCAAAATTAATAGAATTGTAGATAGAATTATAGCTTTAAAGATTGTTATTGATGTTAATATTATTAATATTATAAGTGCTTATGCTCCTTAAGTAGGTTTGGATACAACAACAACATCAAGCCTTTATCCCACTATGTGGTTGGCTACATGAATCCTTTTTCTCCATTGTGTCCAATTAAGAGTCAAATTCTCATTTAGATCTAATACAGAAAAGTCATTTCTAATGTTTTATAACCAAGTCTTTTTAGGTATACATTTACCTTTCTTAACATAGGTTAAATCTAATACATCTACTCTCATAATCGAGTCATCGAAAGACCACCGTTTTATATGACCAAACCAACTAAGGCGACTCTTTCTAATCTTATTAGCCACTGGAGCTACTCCAACCTTTTCACGTATATGCTCATTTCGTATCCTATCTGTAAGAGGAAAGCCACTCATCCACCTGAGCATCCTCATCTCTGCAACATTTTGCGCCATAATGCATTACAGGTCTAACCACCATCGTATAGAATTTTCCTTTAAGTTTGAGTGGTACTTTTCTATCACACAACAAAGCCTGATGCATTCCTCTACTTAATCCATCCAACTTGAATTCTACTAATAATATCCCCATCTATTTCACCATTACTCTGAAAGGCATTATCAAAAACTTGTAGTGACCCTCATGAATCTTGAATGCTATCTTGTGCACATCTTCTGACTTCATTCTGATATGGTGGTACCCTGGCTTTAGGTCAATTTTCGAGAAGATGATTGCCCTCAAACAGCTCATCCAACAGTTTATAAATCACGCGGATAGGAAACTTATCCAATACAGCTTCCTTATTCAGGGCTCTATAATCCACGTAGAATCTCCAACTACCATCCTTTTTTCTCACTAGTAAAATGGGGATGGAAGAGTGGCTCACACTGGGCTTGATGATTCCTGCCTCAAGCATCAATCCGATGAGCTTCTCTATGTCATTCTTCTAAATTTACGGGCATCAGTACGGTCTGACACTGATAGGAGAATCTCCCTCCTTCAAGGTGATGACATGCTCGTGCTCCCTGAGTGGCGGTAATCTGCTAGGATGTTGAAAAACCTTAGGAAACTATTGTAGAAGCTGATGTACACACTCAGGGGTCTCACCCTGCCCTGGATCTCGAATCTCCATCAGGCTCTGCAACTCCACCAAGTTGCCCAGCCTTGCCCCCTGCATTGCTTTGACCATGGTTTTGAGTAAAACCATGGTTTTGCATAGGCTGACATCTCCCCACAGCACCACCCTCTCCCCCTCCACCTTAATTTCCATAGTCAATAATTTCCATTCAACCTTTGTTTTCCCCTATCATCTGCAACTATTTCATCCCTAGGATCACATCAGTGCTTCCCAAATCCAAATGAAAAAAATCCTCCACTATTTGTAGGCATTGGAGTGTCAGCATCAACCTCCTGCAAATCTCCCTGCTCCTTTCTAACTTTCCATTTCCCATCATGCCTCCAAAGCTCCATGTGTCCGTCAATATCAATCCCAACTAGTCCACGATCTGATTTGATATGAAGTTGTGGGTAGCCCAATTATCCACAAAAACCACCACTGGACGCTCCCTGATTTGTCCCCTCACATTTATGGTATGATTTGGAGTAAATCCTACCACTGAGTTAAGTGAAACTTCAAGGTGTAGGTGCTCTTCTCCCTTTTCTGCTTCCTCCATCAGATCCTCACTGTTGGTCTCCTCCTCATCACGTACCATAATAACCTGGAGTGTGCAGTCCTTGCACTGATGGCCTGGTGCATACTTCTCATCACAACAGAAGCACAGACCTTTCACTTTCTTGTCCTACACCTCTGCTTTTGTGAGGCGCTTGAAGTTGGCCCTTAGGCAAACCCCCCCACTCTTCTCCCTCGTGGTCTCCCACTAAAATGATATTGTCTGGGTTCTCGATGCCAGTGAAGTTGAGGTACTTGTGTAAGAGCCTCCCGCTACTCTGCTCTTACTGATTCTCTCAATCCGTCTCCGATCATTTGCTATATGGGCTAGCTCCATCGTCTCCTTCAACCCTCGCGGTCCCAACAATCAGAGGTCCCCTTGTATGTCGGACTTGAGGCCCTTCATGAAATTTCTCTCCAACACCTCATATGATATTCCCCTCAATCGCCCTGACAAAATCTCAAATCTCTTCATATACTCCATGGCAGTCCCCTTCTGAGTAAAGGCAAGAAAGGCAAGAAATTGCTCATGTAGGTTTCTATAATACCTGGTTTAATCTGGCTGGTTCAATTGAATCAGCTAGCCCTAACTAAGAGCCCGCAAGAGCAGGTTGAGAGGAGCATAGATGAAACCACAATTAATCAGGCCGTTCGCGTGTGTAAACGCCTCAAACGGAGTCGGATCGAGCCGTTGAACGAAGGATCGTGTATGAGGGTGAAAACTAACAACTCCTCATGAGTAATATCTTAGTTTCACTGACTCTTGTATAAGCAAAACATATGATAAGTTTCAGCCGAGAGGTTTGAGCGGAGAGGAAGAAGAAGAAAGTAGAAAATAAGTTTGTTTATTTATTTATTTATTTATATTTATCTTCTTGCAGTTTCTTGTATGATTGAAAACTTCTTCTCCATCTCGGATTTGATTTGGCCTACTTCGCCTTTAAGTGCATCCACTTTTTTTGTTGCAGTGCCTCTAAAAACCTCGCTCTGATACCAATTTGATACATATTGGAATTAAAAACAACAAACAAAAGAGAAGAAAAGCATATGAGCACAAAGATAATAGTTGTTTTCTGATTTCTCCTTACAAAATAATGCAAGATACATTTGATCTATCATTTGAGAGATAGATTGGCTCTCTCACAAATCTTAGGCGCAACTAGGAAACTCAAAAAGAAAACTACAGCAGAAAACCAATTGCAAGATACTTCCCTCCCAAATTAGCTCACTTTCTTTGATTAACCACAAATTTGTGTCCTCTTTAGTTGCCAAATATGCGGAATGCGAAAGCTGTGTTAATGCCCAAATTTGTGTCCTCTTTAGTTTAAATGGAATAACTTCTAGGGTATGTTGTTTAGAAGGAGACCCAAGTAGTAATGCCTTCTTCTTATTCAGAACAGTTTGTAGTTATATTAACCAAAAATTTGTGTCCTCTTTAGTTGCCAAAAAAGTATAACAAGTTGGAGCTGACTGATATATATGCTCCAATTTGGGGGATTGCTAGCAGTATCTTTTTTCTTAGAAAAGTATAATTATGATTATTTGTCAATGTTTATTTGATGGTCCTCTTGGATATTTTATTGTTTCCCCTTTTATGAATAGAATATCTTCCTTCTAAATAAACAGAATATATTTTTTTTCACTCAACATTTTTACCTCTATTTTTAGATGAATTAAGTTTTTCAGTGATTGCTCGCTTTATGTTCTGTTAATATACTAGCATGCTAGTGCCATTTTTTATCAGAGTTTTAGTCTTTATTTTTCAAATCGTGTGTTTGAACCATTGGTAATTGTTTGCTTGTGTTTGAGATTTATATGAATTTGTATTTTCTAAAATATGTTAAGTATATGATATTTTTGCTTGATCATCTATTTAAATCAAAGCATTTTGTGTTGTAACCAACCGCATTCCAAATTAAAACTTAAATAGGATTGTGCCCTTGCATAGTATGGTAATTACCAATTTGCGTCTCTACTTAGGCATGTACTGTTTGATATGATTATATTGATTACGTTTCTTGTGTCTATGCAGATCCTAAATATGCGGTCTGCTAAGCGGCCTGGAGTTGTAATAAATATTGGTTCTGCTTCTGGCCTTTATCCAATGTACGGTGATCCTATCTACTCTGGTTCAAAAGGTTCGGATTGTTCTTCCAGATGTCAAATAATCTGACAGTTGCATCATTTTGCTAAATCTGATTTTTGTTCGTAATTTGTTGTATGCGAAAACTCATATAGGTATACTGGTGATTGTTTATGTTGGGATCTATACAGGAGAGGTTGTAGTTGAGAGCTATTTCGCTTGATTTCTTACATTCAATTTCTGGAATCGTGTCCTTGTTTACCCACTTAAAACCATTTCTAGTTATATTATTAGTTCCACTGTTAGCAGAATTCAGTAAACTTATGGTGATAATTGAAACTTTTCTATTTTCCTGTAATTGTTTTAGTATTGTGGTACTTTTGATAAGTTGTTGATCAAGCAAGTATTGTCTCGTGGGCTCCGAAAATTCGCGCTCCGGCCTCTTCGCAACTCTTTTTTTTTTTTCAGGTCGTTGAGGAGAGTTTTAACGAGTAAGTTTCGAGGAAAATTTTTAGAAGACAATGAGTTTTGAATAAGATATTACCCAGAGATTTCGCCCTCATTTTGCGAGAACTTTATAATCTGAGTCAGGTTTCCTATAGGCGCAAGCCCCTATAGTTAATTACATCTCCCGATAGCGAGAGAGAACTTTCGATTAAGACTAGTATCTGACATATAGTAGTGGCAAGATTTGATACTTAAAAATTAAAATTTATATCACCGCACACTTAAAGCGGATGGTGGGGGGAATAATGATGAACACGATCAATATCTCATGGTTTCGTCGTTCCGGGCTATTGTTGTTCCTAGTCTACGTAGTATGAGTAGGTAGTCGACCCAACCTGATCGAAGGATCCTTGTCGGCAGCTATGGGTTGCTTCATCCAATGGTACCTTATAGACTTAGGATAAATGTTTGTCTAAATAGATAGATTTGAGTCGACCTTAGCTAACAAAGGGCTTTGTGTTCTATCGATCATACTCTATTGATTCATTACTCAATGATTTAGCACCGTTGGGAAACATATTGGCTCTGACCATGACCGTAATTTAGTGGTACCATTTAACGGTAAAACCACCCAGTTAGAGGGTCCCGGTCAAAACCGTTTACTTGTGGCTCCATTTTGGCGGCGAAACCACTGGTGGCAACTGCCAGTAAAGAGCAAATGTCATGTCCTTACTGGCAAGAAATTGTTTGAGAATTAATCCTTTTAATATTCTCGACTAGACATTTGCTCTTTGTGAGCTGAAGTGATTTTAAAATTTGTCCATCTCGGCAGATTATTGCGGAGGGTGGATGGATTTTGCTTTAAATTATTTAGATGATTGAATTTCAATTTTAAATATTAATTTTATCAATAGATATATGATTTTGAATCTTTGATGGGTATTTTTGAATTGACCCATTTGGTTGAGATTTACATTCAGCACGTCCATCATCGAGGTGACATTAAATTGACCCCTATGGTGATTTTTTTTGCATCATATAATTATTAATACTAATAATAGAGAGAGAAAGATGTTTAAAAAAATAAAAATATCAAAATCCCTAAATACCCCCACTTAAACCCTCACATAACTCCCTCATAATCCCAACCGGCCCCCATCTCTCCCTCACAATCACTCACGCATGAAATCCCCTCTCTGTTCAGCCCTCTCTCCCTTTCTCTCGTGTGAAGCCGCGGGCCAAGCTCCCTCCAAGCTCTCCAAGGTAAAATCTTCTTCCTTCCATTCTTCTTCTTCTTCTTCTTCTTCCATTCATCTCCTTCCTTCTTCATATTCTTTCTTCTTCTTTCTCCCTCCATTTCCTTCCATATTCTTCTGTCATCATCTCCTTCTCCTTCTCCTTTTCCTTCATCTTCTTCGTTCTCCACCATTTTCTTCATAAACCTAAAACAAACCCTAACCCTAATTTTTCATTTTCTCCACATCCACTCCTCAAACCACCAATCTCCCTTCACAAAAAACATTCTCCCACACTTCCTACACATCCCCAACTAAAAAGCCCCATCAACCTCCACTATCTCTCTAGCCTAGAGAGAAAAAAATTTCTCTCCATCCCAAACACCTTTCTTCATCACCATTCCTTTATATCTCCCATCCTAGTGAGAAAAATTCCCTCTTTCTCTCTCTAAAATTGGAGAGTGAGAGGAGATTTTCTCTCTATTACTCTCTCTCGTATTCCTACACATCCTATATCTCCTCCACCAAAAGCCCTCTCTTTCACTTGCTTTCTCTCTCTAGCCCCCATATAAATAAATAAATATATTTTTATAATTAATATCATAATTGATGATAGAAAAATTAATTCGTGCGTTGCAGGTCTCTTATGCGTTGCCATTGCCGCCGTCGCCTCGGTCACCGCGCACCTAAGATATAAACACGACACTAATATTTTATAATTCATTAAGTGCATGTGATTACTTTTTTTAGCAGACAGTAAAATTCATTGCATGAAAATTAAGTATCAGTGACAGCTTTTCTTGACAGGCGGGAAAATTCGTTGCATGAAAATAAAGTACCAGTGACCTCTTTTTTTAGCAGGCGGTAAAATTCGTTTGCATGAAACTAAGTACCCATGATCGCTTTTCCTAGTAGGCGAGGAAAATGATATGCTTTATAAACAGGTGCTCGAAGACCCGTGACTGCCTTTTTTGGGAGGCGGGGAATGAAGTTTTGATCACGGTGTCACCTGACACCTACCGTGACTGCCTTTCTCTTGGCAGGCGATAAGGCTTTACACATCCCGATGAAGCCCCCTACGTAGGGATGACGTCAGGGTGATGTCGAAATTTTCAACAAAACTCATGACTTAGAGAATTTTAAAGAAACTAAAATTTGCCTAAATTTCTAAGTTAATAAAAAATAAAACACATGACATCCTAGGTTCCAAATACTGAAAGTAAAGATGAAAGAAAATTCAGATCATAACAGAATACAACTTATAGTGAACTGTTAGGAGAACTAGTTGTTCACCAACAGGTAGGAACCAAACCCTTCTCTTAGCTCTTGATTCGCACACACCTAAACTTTGCAACAACACTCTTTGCAGAAATGAAGTGTGAAAAATGGATTAAACCTCCCTCCTATGTATAATATATAATTCAAATCATTTGCGGGCCCCTCCAGCTTTTGATCCCTTTGCTAAAAGATAGGGATGGTACGCCGGCGTGTCCCACCAGCTTAGGATCCATGTTTAAAATATGTCAAGATATAATTTAAAGGCTTTGGTTTTGGATCCCTTGAGTATTCACCAGCGGATGAAATACAAGCATAAATACACCCGAATACAGATGATAATTATCCTAAAAAGAGGAGGATAAAAGTGAAAAAAATTATTTACTTTTGCTACAAAAATGTATCTACATTAATTGTTAACACATAAGAATCTCCGCATATTCCCGATAATTTTCTTGGTTAAATGGTTCATAGTAAAATGAGAAATTTTAATCTCATTGCAAGTCACGGGTACACAAATGCCTTAATTAGCGTGCACACGAGCTGTTAAAGTTAGGAGGCTTGTACACACCCCGTGAATGTGTTGTACATTCTATGAACAACTGTTTTAAAAAAGAAACAAAATAGTGCACTGTTATGTGTCATGGTTGTACAACCCCTAATTAAAGTGTGCACATCATGCCAAATCACTGAAAGAGGGTTTCTCCTACGAGCCCCTATTGTATAATGTGCATATATTAAACATACAAATGTGCTATACATATTCATTAAGCAGTATGTATGTAATTCTTCAATCGTGTGGGCACACTGTATAATTTGTATGCATACCATTGATCATACAGATACATCTTGCAAATGCACCACCAATCATGCAAAAATAGCATGTATGCATATTGTCAACTGCACGAGTGCATTATACAACGCAAGTGCATTATACACATGCTACCCGGCATACAAAAATGTGTTACCTAAGTGCCTTATCCAACATTCAAATTCACCATGCATACGCTCCACGTAATGTGCAAAGATATTATGTGCATGTATTGTGCAATATGCAAATACATTATATGAAAATACACACGTACAAATGTGTATGTAAACATGCATTTACGCCATACACATCCATTGTGTTGCATGCACACACCCTGCAATGTGCAAAATGCATTATGCGAATCATACAACATGTCTATGCTCCAATTCATGAAAGATAAATGCTATTAAGAAGCAATCTTCGTTAATATATTATAGTCCTCGATGATTTGCTCATTCTTTTTGGAGTTGCTTTCAATGTTAATTATATTTTATATGGATTTCTTATAAATCCCAATCGTGTAACTAATGCCTTATTCTAATCCTATTTGGCCTAACATCCTCTGTAAAAGGAGGAAATCTTAGAAGAGCGTTATACGAAGAATTTTCCTGCACGATACTTGGAGATGCCCAGCGGGTGTATCAGTCATGTTGGGAAATTTTCTGCATGATGACCCTTCTAATGATCTCTCCCATTGAAGGGTGCATTGGTTAAATACACATTGAAGGGTACATTAACTAAACACACGTTCTATTTATATTAAATTTTATGATGCACGTGAACTCTAGAACATGACTGCTTGTGACAGACTTCTCAGTAACTAATCCTGAATTCCATGTTGGTTTTAAGTAAATCCTTCGAATGACAGGGAACCAGCTGTTTATATTGTGAACCTGCATAAAATAAATCAGTAGCAGAGAAACTCTATAATAGCAGAACCATGAAACTGTAGCCAATTCCTATATATATATATATATATATATATATATATATATAGGTTGAATGGAATAACAAAATGCCAGCTTTGTGCTTTCCACGATATACTGTATGCTGCCGTTTTCATGCCTCCTCAAGCTGATGAGGCAACTGCTGTAATCAGCTTATCAGCCAACGCCTTAAACCTATGGATTGACAATGATTTAGTAAAGACATCCGCTATCTGATCTTTAGTTGCAATATGATGCACGGTGATGTGTTTAGCTTGAATGCTGCCTCGAATAAAATGACAATCCACCTGGATATGTTCAGTGCGAGCATGAAAGACTAGATTTTCAGCTAAAGCAATTA